GATAGAAACGAAAATTTACCTGCAGCCATTGCCGCACTTGCAGCCGGATCCGCAACCACATCCGCCGGAAGACATTTTCGCAGGTTAAGAGGATGTATGTAAAGAGGAACTTGAAAGGATTGGAATGTGAATTGATCGCTAGACGAGTTTTCTTGTGGAACTTTGACTGCAATTTATAGGACAGAGGAGGTGTGCAGTGTGGGGATCTGCCGTACACGTGGCCAATTATCTGCCGATTGCGTCTCTAAAAGTTCTTTTGTGATCTACCCGATAGATTATTCTTTTCAAGGTTTGTGCATAGAATAAAAAATAATTATTAATTAATTATTATTTTTTAAAAAAAATGTAAGATTTTAAATTAAAAAATAAATTTTTATTTTTATTTTAAAATAAATAAATAATTAATTAACATATGTTATTTGTAATTAAAATAAAAATAAATTTTATCTTTTTTAAAATAAAAAATTATAATAATTACATAATTATCATTTTTTATCTTATGGCGTTAAGGTTTAGGTTTCATAAACTTTTTGATAATACCTCATAGATTAATTGACCATTAGCTGCTGGAGGTCATAGTTATCATAGATTTATAGTCGTTAATTACCATGAAAGATTTGGTTAATTGCTCTTATTTTATTAGGATATAGTTTTTTTTTAAAAACAATTAGTTATGATATTTATAATTTTTTAATTATAAATTAATTTTAATATATTAAATAATAAATATTAATTATTTTATTAATTACTAACTCTATTTAATAATTAAACTAAAGTGAAAATTTATTTGTTTAAATGATATTAATAAAATTAATAGTGATTATAACTATATCCATCCACAGCCAATGAAAAGAGTGTTGTGTGGACAACACCAACCATCAAATAGCGTGTGGGCTCCGAATATTGGGGTTTTTTCATTTAATAATTTTTATTTTATAATTTAATATAATTTAAATTATAAAATAGAAATTTTAGCTAATGATATTATCTTATGGACAACTCTTGAAAATGACTTTTCTATGTCTTATATCACTAAATCCCCAAATTTGCTTCTTAAGTATAGGGTAGGGATAGATTTAAACTCAAACTAGATGTAGAGATAAATTACTTTATTAATTAATTAAGTTAGTTAAATTATTTAAAATTTAATTGTTGACATCTTATGATATTATTATGTGGCTTTTTTATTTGTGTTGGCAATAATAGAAAGAAGATGTCATATGATATCAATAATTAAATTTAAGATAATTTATCTAATTCAATTAGTTAATAGGATAATTTATCTTTATATTTAATTTGAGAGAATTTGTCTCTACCCATGCTTAGAGGGTAGATTTGAAGTTTTGGGTTTTCTTATATACCATTGTATGCAATAACTTTCTTTGTAGTTTATTTCAATCAATTTAGCTATCCTAATTTAATATATATAATGTTTAGATAATATTTTTTGTAACATGTAAATGATAAAATTAATTTAGTCTACTATTTGTTTGTGTTGCAATTTATAGCGATTTAATTTTATTATTTTCTTACTATATTTTTTTGATGATATAATGTTATAGTTTAATCAATTCCACATCACTTCAATTATTTAAAAAATATATATAGTAATATTAAAGGAATTGATATACATTTATTTATGCTTCTATTGATTAAAAAGCCTTAACACACATAATTTTAATTTTTTATACTTAAAATAATAGTGTTTTGGGTTAGTTTGTATGTATCTTAAAATTAATTTTTTCTTATACTTTGTTTGGATTGGGAAAATTGGAAGGGAAGGAAAGGAAAGTAAGGGGGGAGCACATTCAGTTATTTGGATAAATAATTTTAATAAAGGGAAGGGAGATGGAGAGAAACTAAACCCTCTCCATTCCTTTGTTTTCATTCCTTTGTTTTCAATCCTCTCGATTTTGAGGAATCGAGATGAATTACATTACTTAATTTATTTTTATTTTTATTTTTTTAAATAAATATATAAACATTTTATTTCAACTATTTATTTAATTTATAAATTTTAAAAATTTTATTCTTATTTATTTTATTTTTCATTAAAGTATTTAATTAAATAAAAATATTTTCCTTTCCTCTCCGTTATTTTTATATATGTAGATAAAATTAATATCAACTTTTTTTCTTCCTTTCAGTTCTCCTCTCTTCCCTTTCTCCCCCCTCTCCATCCCTTCTTTTTCTTTACTAATTTTTATCTAAACATAGGCTTAAAGTACACCTCAACATTAAACTTTTATATTTAAAAATTTTAATTTTTTAAAATATTAGTTTTAAACCTCAAATTTAAATTTAAATTAAAAACAATAATTACTTATTAATAGATCTAATTTTTAAGATTATAACTTTAATTTTTCTAAAACAATTTAAAATAATGTAAAAACTACATGAATTTTATAATTGATTAAAAATATTATAGGACTAGGCTCCTCGCTTGCACCATGGAAAAGATTATTTTTTACCGCCATCTCCTCAGGCAAGAAACAAGGGAGAAAGGGATGAAAAGGCAAAAACGCATGTTAAGCCCCTCAACGTTTTCAACAGCTAGTGATAAGCCCCTGAACTAAAAAAGTGGCAGATAAGCCCTCAAACTCCATGTAAGGAGCAAATTAGCCCCTCCGCTAACTGACTTTATGACGCCGTTTATCATCGGCTTCCGTGGCATTGCACCTGCACGCCTTTGCATGTTTTTTTTTCCTTTACTTCATTTGTTTTTAGTAATCATATATTTTTTTAATTAATTAATTTTTAAGTCAATTAATTAATATCATATAATATACATATCCTCAATTATTTTTTAATGACATAATGATATATTTTTTTATTTTAATTAATAA